ATTTATACATTAAATTAACCAAAAAGTGTATAAAAGTAGTATAGCTCCAAACGGGTTTTGTTTTGTTGGAAGTTGACGAGAAGATTCTAAACTCTACCCGAACTGTAAGTTGGTGAGAGTGCCCATAGAGAATGTGAAAAGAAGAAAAATGAATGGGAGATTTATGTGAAAGCCATAGTGACATTCTGATGGAGAAACACAGAGACACAGCAGTGGGCACCAGCCTGGGCTCCAGACAGACATGTGTTAAGTGACTGTGGTCACTCAGGGTGCAAGAGCTGATGAGTCCAGCAGGGGGCGTCTGACGGCATCGCTGTTTGGAAAAAACTAATGTAGATTCCCAGCTCAGAAAATATAGATGGATGTTTATAAAATTATGTAAATATGTGTAAGGCTTATCAAAAAAAAAAAAAAAAACCCCATAAGTACTGCTATGTCGAGACCATCCTCTGCTAAAAGAAAAAATTACGACTATGGCTCTATAAATATCTAGAGAAAACTATGAAATGGAGAAGCGGTGGCTGGAAGCGTTTGCACACATGCAAAGGGCCAGTAACTGCGACGCACCGTTAATTCTTACAAAGAGATGAGCCGATCACACTCGTGGGACAGTGGGAGACTGTCATGAAAGGCAGTTCTCATGAGAGGAGATAAATGGGCGTAAACATGGGAAAACGCTTATCTCGAAGAAGAGTATGTGCTGACCACCCTGAGAGGCTGTGATTTTGTCTGTCAGACAGTCAGTTGTTGTTTGTATTAAAAAGAGGGTTTGGGCTGGTGGCTGCTGACAGGTGGAGTGGAGGGTGGCCTGGGTCCACGTGGTAGGCTGTGGCCCTGGCTGTCACCTTTTCCTCTTGGCAGTTGTCTTCCAGGAACTGGGTCATGGTCCCTCAATGCGTTGCTCCTGCATTTACTGCAGTCTGTAGACAGCCCCGGCGAGATGGGGGAGGGGTAGTACAGCCAGACCTACGCCCCCAGGCACACACAGGTCCCACAGGCCCCACACCCGCCATGTGCCTCCTCTGGGCCCTGCAGGGCTGTCTGCCCTGGATGTGGTTCGTGCTTCTTTGTTTCTTCCTGGCTGACCGCTCCCCACTTTCTGGAAGGCAGGCCTGATCCAAGTTCCCTGGGTGTCAGGGGATGCTTCTCCCGTGCCTGGGGGTCGGGGACCTGCCACAGAGGGGTTCTCCTGTGTGGGGCCATGACTCAGTGGTTTAGAGCCCTGAGGGTTCTGTGGCCTGGTATATCTACGAGAGCCTGTGTCGTCAAATCTGTTGGAACATTGATTATCTTGATTTATTTTCAACTTCTGTAAGAAGGAAACTACCTAATTTGAGGTTTGATTATTTTAACCATCAGAAATCTTTTGGTTGCAAACGTAACTGAAAACTCAGCTTATGGGCCGGCCCGGTGGTGCACTGCTGTAGTGCGCCGCTTGGGAAGCGCAGAGGCGCTCCCGCCGAGGGTTCGGATCCCACATACAGACTGGTTCCCGCTCACTGGCTGAGCGAGGCGCGGGGGCAACACCGAGGGTTGCGATCCCGTTGCCGGTCCTCGGTCCGGTACAGGGGCAACGCCGAGGGTTGCAATCCC